CCAGATTGCATATGAGTATGAGAATATAACTGCACAAGATTGCATATGAGTATGATTATATTGTTGCACTAGATTGCATAAGAGTATGATCATATTGTTGCACTAGATTGCACATGAGCATGAGTATATTGTTATACATGATTGTTTGCGAATAGAACATCGTAAAAGATTGTTTAATAAGAAGTTTAACTTGAGAGGTTCCTTGAGCATGATTATTGTAATGTAGTAGAAGTTCTACTTAATAAGCTATGTGATAAGAGCAAGATAGCATGTGAACACTTGTTATATGATCTTTAAACATGATCCTATCTGTAAGCATGAATTGCTTGATAAGTTATTTGAGAAGTCTATATGTATATGAATATACGTGATTAGTCTTATTCATATATAAGCATGCCAACTGGGGTGCAAGCATTTAGAAAGAATATGATAAACTAAAGACGTTTTGAGATTAGCTTATTGCTATAAAGATATCAAATGTTTTCAAAGTGTATGCTAGAATGTTTTACAGGGTTGAGTGTGGTTATACTTAGCTTCGTTCTAACGGGTGTTTTCCTGTTTGTCTATGTATCTTGCAAAACCCCTTTCAGGTGGGCCCAGCAGTGAGAAGAGATCGAGTTAGATTAGTCTCTTAGTCTGAGCTGTCTAAACTCTAGTTCTACTTATGATGTCTTTATGGATTTAGACTTATGACCCTATACTTTACGATGATGTTTGTAGACTGTTTTGGGGTGACGTATTTCCCCCTTACTTTTTAGTATTTACTTTCGTACCCAGACTTAATCGTATGTTATAGTTTTACCCTTTAGCCTGTGCAATCACCAAGAGTGGTGGTTGTGGCGGTGACACCCTCACTACTTTTATCTAGTTTTCCGCTGCTTAGATTATGTTAATGACTATTTAGAGAGATAATTAATAGTTAGAAAAGTGGGGTGTTACACCATGGATCCGCAATTTGTTGACTATTGCCATAGTTCTTGAATAAAATTTTGTGAAATTCTCGCATTCTTTCATTCGAAGTGTTTCGAACTCCGATCGAAAATTCTGAATATGCAACCTCTTCGTCTTTGTGTTTCTATGGCATTTCTTCTTTAGAGAATCCCAAATGTCTTTAGAGGTATCCTTTTTAAGGATAGTCTCTAGAACAGTCCAGTCAATTACTTGGACTCTGTTTGGCAAAGCTAGCTGAAAAGCTATAAGCTAGGAGCTGAAAGCTGAAAAACTATAAGCTCGGACCTGAAAACTGAAGAGCTGTTAAGCTAGCTGTTATGACTGAAAGTGTTTGGTAAAATTAGCTTTTTGATAAGCTTATAAATGTAAAAAGACTAAAAAGGACATCTACATAAAATTTAAATTAGTTTGTTTACATATTAAAATTTAACATTTTGTCTTTAAAAAAAATTAACATTTTAAAATAAAACTATTAGCATAATCATGATATAGCATCTCATAATGAAGTAGCAATATTGTTGCAAATCTTATAATAATAATAATAATAATAATAATAATAATAATAATAATAATAATAATAATAATAATAATAATAATAATAACAATAATAACAATAACAACAATAACAACAATAACAACAATAACAACAATAATAACAATAATAACAATAATAACAATAACAATAACAATAATAATAATAATAATAATAATAATAATAATAATAATAATAATAATAATAATAATATTTGCGGTGAAAGTTACAGATAAAGGATAAGAGAAAAGGGTTTTAATTGGGAAGGATAACTTATGTCATTTCTTTAAAATAATAAAGATAAAGATGGAAAAAAAAAAAAAAAAAAAAGTTAGGAAGCTAGGAGCTTATTTTGAAACGCTACCTAAAGTAGCGTTCCAAAATAAGCTCTTATTTTAAGCTAGGAGCTTATTTTGGAAACATTACCAAACAGAGCTTATAGCTTATTAGTAGCTTAAAATAAGCTATAAGCTCCTAAATAAGATTTGCCAAACAGAGCCTTTGGAAGGGATAGTTCTTAGCTTTGAGATCTTTCAATTTCAACGCCGCCTTCTGAGTTTCAGACATCGCAGCGGTTGATTCTGCTACTGTAGGTTCGATCACCTCCTACAACTCTTTCGACCTTAGAAAGTTTTCCATCAACATACTCCAATAATAATCATAATGACCATCGAAGCGTGGAATTGCAGGTTGAACAAAGTTTTCTGCGACCATTTTGCTTGGAAGAAATAGTGGAAGATATGTAACTCTCACTCACTTGTGACACTCACAGGTGGTGGCTCTAGTACCACTGTTAAATAATAAATGATTGCAAGAAACAGCACTATGCATTATTGCTTTAGAACTTTAGCCTTAAATAGGCCATACAAGAACATAATATAAACAGAAGCAAATAAAAAACTCCAACAGTTAAGGAGAGCCAATACATGTGCTAGGAAACATAAAATTAGGACAAGTGTAGAAATATTAGTGACTTAATTTATTCAACAATATTAAGATTATTTTTCAAACAACTATTGCTATAATAAAGTGTGTAAAGTGGACATACAATATAGTGTATCATCATTACATATTTCTATCGACCTTCTAATGAAAAAGTGAGTTGATTGGAACATGGTTGACCTGGTGTCACACTAGAAGAGTCATTGCAAGTTTGTGTTCTAGTAACAAAAGCAGGTTTGTTTGGTCTAGGTAAAGTCATACTTTCATCCATCAACATTGAAAATACATTAGGCATAGTGGGACGACATTTTGGATCTTCTTCAATGCATAGCAACCCAACATTTATACACCTCAATACTTCATCCTTGCAACATTTGTGTAGTGAGTCATCTACTAAACCCATTATGTTCCCTTCATTCCATAGCTTCCATGCCTGAGATAATTGATTCAAGAAGAAGAGTAAATCAAGCCAGACATATATAGTCAAATTAAAACACTAACTTATTAAGATTTGTGAGGTACTTACATAGCCTAAAAGGTTTGAAATTTCTTCATTTTGAAAGAATGCCCTATTATTCTTTCCACTAATGATCTCAAGTATGATTAATCCAAAGCTAAATACATCAGATTTAATTGAGAAGAGTCTCCACCCAGTGCATATTCAGGAGACATACAACCACTTTTTATTGTCATACGCAATCCGAAGATCATGCATGAATTATACAAAATAAAAAACACAATAAGTAAATCACTGAAAAAACTACGAATAATTATGAAATTTTAAAATTTACTCAAAAATTGAAATTAAGATTATTATGATACTTACTAAGTGCCAACGACTTTTCTGGTATTTGCTTTTAATGCATTTCCAATTACCATTCTTGCTAATCCAAAATTTGAAATCTTGGGTGTCATTTCTTCATCTAATAAAATGTTACTTGTTTTCATGTCCCTATGGATGATTCTCAATCTTGAATTTTGGTGGAGATATAAAAGTCCACGAGCAATTCCCAATATGATATCAAACCTTTTGCTCCAGTCCAACAACAATCGACGTGTTTGATCTTAGAAAGTAATTAATTTAAAAAAAAAAAAGATTGTGAAAACAACGGGTTAATAAAGTATAACAATTGATCGAACTTATTAATTTATATATAGTTTATCAATGGAATAACAAAGATCTAGGCTTACCAAATATGAAGGTGTCTAAACTCTTGTTTGGCATATATTCATATAGTAATATCTTTTCTCCCGGTTGTGAGCAATAGCCAACAAGTTTAACCAAATTTCTATGTTGAAGCTTTGCAATTAGTATAACTTCATTCTTAAATTCATTGAAGCCTTGTCCAGATTGATTTGATAATCTTTTCACTGCAATTTCTTGCTCTTCCGAAAGCATACCCTACCGCAAATTATGCTGTGCAACCGAATGCACCTTGCAAGGTGCATATGGTTGCAAAACGGCGCCGTTTTGGTTAAAAAAACGCGCGTCCCACTTAAAAAAAAAATCAGGTTCGATTCCCGGCAATAGCATTTTTATATATCCAGAAATTCATAACTATATAACCACAATTTCATAACTATATATCCATAATTTCATAACTATATATCCACAGTGAATGAATGAAGTAAAAATCCACAATGAATGAATGAATGAAGTAAAAATCCACAATGAATGAACTAAATATCCACAATATATGATTGAACTAAATATCCACAATGAATGAACTAAATATCCATAAATTCATAACTATATAACCACAATTTCATAACTATATATCCACAATTTCATAACTATATATCCACAGTGAATGAATGATGTAAAAATCCACAATGAATGAATGAATGGAGTAAAAATCCACAATGAATGAATGAATGGAGTAAAAATCCACAATGAATGAATGAATGAAGTAAAAATCCACAATGAATGAACTAAATATCCACAATATATGATTGAACTAAATATCCACAATGAATGAACTAAATATCCATAAATTCATAACTATATAACCACAATTTCATAACTATATATCCACAATTTTATAACTATATATCCACAATAATGCTATTGCTGAGAGTCAAACCTGATTTTTTTTTTTTAAGTGGGACGCGCGTTTTTAATCAAAACGACGTCGTTTTGAACCGTATGCACCATGCGCATGGTACATTCGGTTGCACAGCATAACTATTGATACCCTACAAGACCATTTTCATTATTAGATATTGGTCATGTTTGGTAAAATAGTTAGCTTATCAGTTAATTTTGGCTTATTTGACCACTATTAGTGGTTAAACTTGGTTAAACAATCAATATGAGTGTTTGATTAATTAGCTTTTTGTAACAACTTATTGCTTCAAAATGCTAAAATTCAAAAAGCTACTCAAAGCAATTTTTTCTATCAGCTTTTTGGGAAAGTCATTTTGCATGTAATCAGCTATCAGCTAATTTACCAAACACTTTTCTACAATTAACTAATGATATCAACTAGTCAAACCTACTAACTCAATCAGCTAACAGCTATTTACCAAACACTCCGTTATAGAAAAGCAAAAGCAACAACCTAAAATGTATTGCTTAGCTAGCTAAAGAAATACGGAATAATTGATTGATAACCTTATAAACCGGACCAAAACCTCCTTTTCCAAGCTTATTTGCATTGGAAAAGTTGTTTGTAGCTTCCAATATGCTTTGGAGAGTAAAGAACTGAACACCAATGCCGCCATTCTCATCAGTATCTTCATCTATCACTTGATCCATTGCTTCCACTGCATGTTCTGAAGTGAACAGAAAATTATTCCAAACCCTAATATTTCAGAGACTCAAAATATATATGGTTTTAATGAATCAATGTCAACACTGAAAATTTAATTTCTCTACAATTAACTACTACGTACCTGTTGTTTTCAATGCTGTTCTCATCCTTTTAAAACAGATGCAGAAAATAGCGCAAGCAATTAGAGCTGCTGCGGCAACTGCTATACTAGGAATGATAACTTTGAGCTTTCCTGACAAGTGGTGTGAGTTATCTGTTGGCATGAAAAGAAAACAAAACACATTCAGTTAAGTTTGATCAAACAATTGCTTGGTAATCACAAATTTTAAGTTTGATTCGGTCATTTATGGATAATCTATCTAGAATAGTTTTTCTTTTGATGATCATTTGCCGACTAGGATCAAAAAGCAAATTTCACCACGAGTGCACCTTCTGTAGTGGATGCAGGCTTTCTCTTAAATCAAACTATCAAAGGGATATCAAATGACACTAATATTCTGGGTAGGGATGTCAATCTTAATCCGATTAGCTGACCTGATAATTCCGAAAATTTTTAATAGAATCAAAATTTTTTTAGTCCGATAAGTTCAACCGTCCAAATTTATTAGCCTGAGTCACTTAAAGTTATTTTTTGCTTCACAAGTAATATAGAACAATATATATAAGGAACTTATATGTAAGATTATTTTAGTAATTTTTATTAAATTTGTAAATAAAATTTTAATAAGTTTATTATAAAATAAATAATGATTTAAAAAAAAAAAAAAACTTGTTATAATTATTACTCCGTATATTATAATGTAAAAATATTAATTATTTTTAGTTGGAATTTAGAAATAAAGGTTTATATTGATTGAATAATGTATAAATTTATATTTATTAGTGTAAATGCGTTATTTTATTAAAATTGAATGTTTAAAATGTTAATTTAAAAATCTCAAAAAAAAAATCTCAAAAAAAATCTCAAAAATTTTAAGTATGATAACTTGAAGTTTTAGGGTTAGAGTTAAGAATTTTAAATTTAATAAAAAAAATTGATTGGCCCGAACAAATTAAAAATGCTTGACGGCACGATAAGGGCAAATTATTTCGTGAATCTAGATCCACCTTGTAAGGTGGCAAGGTGAACCCGAATCTAAAAGACCACACAATTTACATACTGAATGTTCACAATTTACATACTAAATGCTAACAATTCAAGTTGCAAACATTTTAGTATGTAAATTGTGTATTTTAGATTCGAATCCAATGTGGACCTGGATCCATGGTATAACTATTGCATAATAAAGTTAGTTCAAAACTAAATGAATTGGCCTGATTGACATCTTTTGAATATAATACGGTATTGAGCAGATACTAGGGATATGTTATAAATTACTTACCTTGGATATTTGGGAATTCAGAAGGGGTAAGTCTGACGTAAATCGTGCTTCCATTGATGTCGTCTTTCCCAAGCTGTTTCAGGTCAAAAAGTTCTCCTACCCAAATGGAACAATAATTGGTGTAAGCATAAGCGGTACAAGAGCAATTTTTCTGACAAATGGACTCGCATTCTGCTTCACTCCCGGCTGTAGTGTTCTGAGGATGTCTTGGCAATCCCATATTTGTATACATTTTGAACCTTTCCTCCATTTCCTCACACCTCAATCTGCTCTTCCTTACACAGCCTGGGAAGAATTCATTCAAACCCTTCTGTTTCTCTGAGAAGCCATACAAACAAGCGAAAACCGCCGGCGATGAGTTTTCATTGCTGCAGATGCTGAATGGGCCGCAATACGCGTAAACGTCGCATTGTTGCGCCGGAACAAGATGGATCGCCGCCCACTCGTTTGTAGCCTCCAACCACGTTAGCGACTTCTGTTGTCCGTTTACGTCCAGTATCCCTCTCGATATCACCGATTCAATTACAGAGTAAGTGAAGTAGGTCTCGTTCTCGTTGTCGACGATGCTGAAATTGAAGGCGGGACTCGGCTTCAACGTGAGTGAAATCCCCAATCCGAATTTGGGCCCGCTGTTCCAGTATTCCTCTGTGCCGTTCCACAATTGGAAGGCCGTGTTGCCGTCGTTGGTGAAAGAATAGAGCCCGGGTGATGGATCGTCGGGAGTTTTTTTTTCACGACGTCAGGACTTGTCCGGTTTTGGTGCGCTTGTTGTATCCGAACTTGGAACCCGGCAGAAATGTGTCTGTTGGGTGTTCGACGCTTTGCCAAAGTGGGGTTTTCGAATTCACGCCGTCGTTGCTCAATACCAAGTTTCCGTCGTCGCGGAGAGTTGCTAGCACGAGGATTCGAAATTTGGAGGAGTGGATTGCGGCGGAGGGGATTGGGGTGACTCTATTTGCTACCCACACTACTGTTTTAGGGGAGATATTTTTGTACCAAATACCAACGTAATAGTTAGAAGACTGAGCAGATTTAAAGAAACCCAACTCGAATCTTCCATTGGGAGATGATATAGTTGTGTTTTGAGTTATGTATTTGTTTCCAGAAATTGTTTCTACTCCATAGGAGAATGGACTAGTATTCAGAAGAGAAATGAGAAGAAAGGATACAAAAAAAGTTATTTCCATGTTCCTGGCTGACTGCAACAATTGTTAACTCCGTATATTATATATATACAGCAAAAGTGACAAACAGAATTGTGTTTTGATTTGAAGAGTGGAAGACTTTAAAGCATCCATGAAAACTAAAGCTCCTGTAAGCAAAATGCAGAAATAAATATGGCTGTGACCAAGTCCAAAACTCGATTATTATTGAATCTATTTGCATTACTCTTATTTATGATTTGAAAGTGAGTGATGAAGTGAATTTATATCTTATTATTCAAAATTGTGCATTCATTTGACAATATTAGATGGGTGGGGGGAATACGGATAGGCGATCAAATTGAAAATGACTGCCGATGGATCCACACAAATCCCAGAACTAAGTAAAAGAAATACTCCAACTTAGTCAACTTCCTCCATCTTGCTACCCTCAGCATCAGCATCGTCCTCCAATGGAGGCATGTCAACATCCGCATCCCCAGAATCCTCATCAATGCTCAACCCGAGCTTCAGCATCCTGTGAATTCTGTTCCCAAAGGTGTTGGGTTCATCAAGGCTGAAACCCGACGTGAGGAGAGCTGTCTCGAAAAGCAACATCACTAGATCCTTCACTGATTTATCATTCTTGTCCGCATCTGATCTTTTCCGAAGCTCCTCCATTATGGGATTCTCAGGGTTGATCTCCATCGTTTTCTTGCTAGACATGTATCCCGCCATGCCAGAGTCCCGAAGAGCTTGTGCTTTCATTATTCTCTCCATGTTAGCACTCCATCCATACTCTCCCGTAACCAGACAGCAAGGAGAGTCCACAACACGCTCAGAAACAACCACCTTCTCCACCTTGTCTCCAAGTACATCCTTCACAACCTTGCACAGACCTTCAAACTTGGCTTTTAAGTCTTCCTTCCTCTTTTTCTCTTCCTCACTTTCTTCAAACTTGAGACCTTCCTTAGTTGCAGAAAGGAGCTTCTTTCCCTCAAACTCCTTCAACTGTCCAACAGCATACTCATCAATAGCATCAACCATGTAAAGGACCTCGTACCCCTTCTTCTTCAGCTTTTCCAGGAATGGAGAGTTCTCCACAGCCTTCTTACTCTCGCCAGTAATGTAGTAGATGTCGTTCTGTCCTTCTTTCATCCTTGTCACGTAGTCCTTCAAGCTGGTCATTTCATCGCCGCTCTTGGTGGAATGGAATCGCAGCAGTTCAGCAATCTTAGTTCTGTTCTGAGAATCTTCATGGATACCAAGCTTCAAGTTCTTGGAGAAAGCCTCATAAAACTTGTCGTAATCATCCTTGTTCTCCGCAATCTCAAAGAAGAGCTCAATGCACTTCTTAACCAAGTTCTTGCGAATGACCTTAAGGATCTTGTTTTGCTGCAACGTCTCTCTCGAGATGTTGAGAGGAAGGTCCTCAGAGTCAACAATGCCTTTCACAAAACTCAAATATTCTGGAATCAACTCTTCGCAGTTGTCCATGATGAAAACACGTCGAACATAAAGCTTGATGTTATTCAGCTTTTTCCTTGTGTCAAAGAGGTCAAAGGGTGCCCTCTTTGGAACAAACAGAATTGCCTTGAATTCCAGCTGACCTTCGACTGAAAAGTGTTTAACTGCCAAGTGCTCCTCCCAATCATTGGTGAGGCTTTTGTAGAACGCAGCATATTCATCCTTTGTGATCTCCTCTGGCTTCCTCATCCAGATAGGCTTTTGCTTATTAACCAAGGCCCACTCATGAGAAACTTCCTTGATCTTCTTCTTTTTCTTCTCTTCCTTCTCCTTTTCTTCATCAACCTCTTCTACTTTTCCTTCCTCGTCTTTTTTCTCATCTTTCTCATCTTCGTCCTCGTCATCAGAAATCTCCTTCTCAATGGTTTTCTCAGTCCACACAGAGATTGGATAGCCGATGAACTCAGAGTGCTTCTTTATTAAATCCTTAAGCCGGCGCTCCTCAAGATATTCAAGCTGGTCTTCCTTAAGGAAAAGGGTAATTTTCGTACCCCTACCCAGATTCTCACCAGAAGTGTCCCGGGTAACAGTGAATGAACCACCGGCTTGGGACTCCCACACATACTGCTCATCATCATTGTGCCTTGTTGTTACAATGACCTTCTCAGCAACCAAGTAAGCTGAGTAGAACCCAACTCCAAACTGTCCAATCATGCTAACATCAGCACCAGCTGCAAGAGCTTCCATGAATTCTTTGGTCCCAGATCTCGCAATTGTACCAAGATTGTTCACCAGGTCTAAAATGCACAAATGTAAAAAAGATCAGCATAAACAACAATAAGAAGCAGAATAGAACACAAACTTGGCACCACCACTTACCAGCCTTTGTCATACCAACACCACTGTCAATAATAGACAGTGCATTGTTGGCCTTATCAGGGACAATGTGTACGAAGAGCTCAGGTTGAGCATCTAGTTTGCTCTTATCCGTCAAACTTTCAAATCGAATCTTGTCCAGAGCCTAGACACATTTCATACATAATATTCTCAATAAGCTACGCCAAGCAGATCAACACATTAGACATAGTAACTCCAATGGAATAATGCATACAGCTACTCACATGAACAGATCAGATTATGAAAACATTTATATTATTGCTACAACCCCTATGTATTGCAGAAAAAGATCGGACGGCCATACATATCATATTACGCTCGCTCGGTCGTACCAAAAGCGCTCGGTCTAGCCAGAAGCTAAAGCCGAATCCGCTTATGATCCATTTATCAAACTTTATGCATTTTATTGGGGATGATTATTGCTTTAAGTGGTGATATAACTAAATTATGCAAAATCACTAGATCTCAATTCTCAACATACATTTCATAATTCAGCAAAACAGAGTTAACGCGTGATTGTTTATATTTTCTCTCCAATATATTTTACAAGCCAGCAGCACAAACTTCAACACAGCAATGTATCTCCATATTCATTTATATTTCTCAGAACAAACATTATTCAACTTGTTGCAATTCACATCATACTATAACAGTCATATCAATCTACCAAGAAATAACCTTATAAACAAGGAATCAACAATGTTATTAAAAACACTATGTAGTAATCCAATAAACTACGTTTACCAAATCAATTGTACATAAAAATGAATCAAACTATCAAACTATAGGTGCATGTACGATTGCATGAATGAATAAGTATGTATAATCGATAGAGAGATACTGACATCAGAAGAATTACTGATGAGTTCACGAAGGAAGATCTCCTTGTTGCTGTAGAACGTGTTGATTATGAGACTGAGAAGCTGGTTGATCTCGGCCTGGAAAGCGAACGTCTCACCCTCCGCCATTGTAGTCGATCTCGGATCTCTAAGGAAGTGTAAGAGCGATTGCGAAGTTACAGAGTTTTGAACAACAGAGCTATAAATAGTGTAGTTCGTTAGGGGATCTAGATACTTCCATTGCCTTAAACATAGGTTTAATTTACCGTGTCAAATCACCATATTTATTCCCTTTTTCATCTCCCATATATTTGGGAGTAGTTGATTCCAATTTTGCACAGGCTAATTTTTATTTTATTTGTCTTTACTATTTATATAAACAACAATTTTATCATTGGCCTGTTTGGTAAAATGTTATTTCTATTTTTTATTTTATACTCATGACAGATCCATAATTTTGCAAAGTGGATAGTTGCTAGTTCATGGTAAATTTGGTGTAGAAAATGATGGGCATGCTAAGATAGAAATTACAAAAGATAATGCATTAAAGTCTCAATGTGATCAATTGAAGCAATAGTTAAGAGTACATTCTCTATATTTTGTGCGGGTATTTGTAATCTAAAGTATCTAAATGGTCGAGCACTTGAGCTATATTGGCACCAACACTAGATTTAATGTGCATACGAGAAGTTTAAATCATTCAGATGGATTCCAACTCCGACACTGTTTGTCGATATGATGTGTATTACATTTGCTGAGTTGCACACCCCGGAGTTCCTAAACAGATTTCGATACTCCGACATTCCTAACCATTCTCTTGCTCTAAAGGTTAGACCTCCAATTATGATTTTGCGAAATATGATCACTCTCTGGGGTTGATGGAATGAGATTTGTAATTACTAGATTGGCAGACCATGTTGTTGAAGCTAAGATATTATCTGAAAATAGTGTGGGTACACATAATAATTAATAATAAAGAAAAAAGTATGTTCTTGCCTAAGTAATTCCTTGATAAGAGCAATAAATGACAAATAATTAATTTCATTGTGGTAAATATAAAGAAAAAACCCCCAGAATTTTCAATGTACAAAAAAGAAAGAATGTACAAGTCCTAGGACTGGATTCTCGAGCTAAAAAAAATCCCTCAGTTACAATATCTACCAGACTACCAATAAATTTGAATGCCAATGCACCCCATTCCCATTCCTTGGAGGTCCACTATTAAACCGCCCAGGGATTCCTCAAAATTTTCTGAAGCGACAGCAAAGGAATACAGGAATAACGATCTATGCAGACACTTCAGTGACAATTCTCAACACTCGTAATCTTTGACTCATCATGGAGGAGGCGACAGTACCCTGTGGTGAAATAACTTCACGAGTGACCTACGTTCACAGTCCTGAAACAAGTTTTCAATCAACTACTGCTGAAGTTCTGAAGCGTACTGATTTGGATATATGTATGATTGATAGCTTTGTGGAGGCTATGACTTATGAGCGAAATGAGATAGGTGTAAAAATACTGTGAACCAAAGGAGCAGAATGTAAAGACATGGAAAGATGTCTCACCTTAAACATTCGCAACCGGAATGGTTTGTCTGGATTCGTTCTCTTCAGTTTCAAGAATGTATATGCAAAGCTAAGCTGGTCGCGTGAAGTAAAACGGTCTACTTCATTGAACCAAAGGCATGAAAATAAATTTGACATTGGAGTATGAGCCCTGACAATAAAGGAACCTTCTGGAACATCTGCAATATGCAAGCACAATTAGAATATTGGCTCCATAGGCAACTAAATTGAAGCATGTGCTCCATCTCAACTAAAAGCCTAAGCTGATAGTTGGATTGCCAACTAAATTGAAGCATGTGCTCCATCTCAACTAAAAGCCTAAGCTGATAGTTGGATTGCCAACTAAATTGAAGCATGTGCTCCATCTCAACTAAAAGCCTAAGCTGATAGTTGGATTGCACATTAATGGCTATATGCTCAACAAACTAATTGCTGATGAATCACAAAGCCAACACCAAACCATGGAAAAAAAGAAGAAATAATAAGAGTGAAGTGAGAAAAGATACACACAGCTTGAAAGAGGTGTATTAGGGTCAGAAGGATCATATTTGGGAAGACCGTCAGCCTTGTAAAAGTTGAATTGTTCATCAATTGCAGTGTGATTATACTTATTTAGCCGTTTGTTTTGGATCACCTCCTCCCAGACACAGTGCCGGGTATAATGATTTGAAATGGCATACTCCGACCCAGTTTTCCACAAAAAGTGATCAATAATCCGCATTGGATCAGCTATAAGGCGCAACTTGCTGTCAATCCAAATAGAATACCTGAAGTATGTGGCAAAAGAGAAAGAAATAAGTCATAATTCATTTCGAACAAGCAATCAGATAACAGTGAACATAGTGTGAGAATCACCTGGAAGAAGGGAAGAGGCGATGAGATAAAAATTTTGGCACCTTTCCAGTTTTCCGCATATCTCCGTATGGTAAGTTCTTGACAACCACTATTTTCCACAACCCAATATGTCCTTCTTCATCTGTAACATGTCCTTCTGCTGCTAGCTTGGAAAGTGTTCCCTCGTCAACAAACATTACAAAACAGACATTCTTCTTGGAATATCCACTCATCTGAAAAACATAACAATTTGACATCAATACCATTAACATGTAGAGCAGTATCTTAGGCAGTTTTTTTATATGTTCCTCAATGATTACTCATGGACCATTCAAGAAGTTCAGTTTAGTATATCGTACATAAAAGTTCACTGTGCCAATTAGATAGCATTGCCAAAAAGAAGAAAACTCATATTAGAAGACGATTCTCAGAAAATTAGTGGATTATTACCAGTTTATTGGTTGGCCTTCTTAAGAAATCTGAGCTACCAAAGATGCATGATGATACAACAACTCTACATGTACTCATATATCTTTTGTCCTTCTCATCCAAATCAAATCCAGTGCTTGGGAAACCTTCACCCCCCTTCACAAAGCCACAATGAATTGTTTGGTTGGTAGCAAAAAATGATTTTTCTCTTTCATCAAGGGTCTGATGTCCTCCAAATCTAAGTTCAGAAGCTCCATTCCAAGAGATCTTGTCTTCTCTTTGGATGTAATCCAAAGAGAAGTAAGTGAAATTTATTGAATCCTCTGGGTTAATAAGATAATGAACTGAATCTCGCAACGCTACCTCACAAGGGAAAAACTCTGGAAAAATAAAATACGAAGTCAAATTTATGAGTTGCTAAATCATAAAAATAAAAAATAAACCATTGAATTATTAATCTACAATTTCTTAATAGGATTAATCAACACAAATGTGATAAAACTGATGCTTTTGATAAGATCACTGTATTTCCTATATGTCTATGTTCGATTATGTAGAGTAAACAGTAAAAGGGTGGAGGGTGGTCAAAGACATCTTGTCACAACAGATTGATGATTATGCCTTTCCTTTTCCTTCTGGGGCTAATTATCCACTCGAAGCCATATTATACTAAAAAATAACCAGAGTCAACCTTCAATACTCGAAAAGTTCATGATAGATACAACAAAACAAGTTTTCTTTTCTTTTTGGTACATTTAAGGGAGAGGATGGTTTGAACCCAAGGACACTTACATAGAATCTTAGGTCAATGCCATTGAACTGCAAGGAGCACTAGCACTACCAGAAAATGGGGCACTAGTACTACGAGAACATTGTGTGTGTATAATCATTCAGAAATATTATTTGTATAAGGTTCACAAGCAATAATTTCCAATTTTCCATGAACTCTAATACTATTTGTTAAAAGACGATCTATTCATTCAAACACCACTCCACAAACAGCATCATTAGCAGACAATCTGGAAATAGAATCAACATTATATAACAATGTAATGAAAGACAGTAAAAGCTATCTTACTCTGCTTGCGGGGTGGTTTCTTCCTTGTCGATTCTGAAGTATTAAATCCAGAAATTTCTTCTTGTATTTCAACCCAAGATGAATGACTGTCTTGTCTGTCTTGCAACCCACCTGAGAGAATGATCAAAGACACACACCTCAATAATTCTAAATTTGTGTCAGTTTTTCTCTATTCATAGTCATTCTCAAAATATGATACATGTTACTGAGTTTATACTTTATAAACAATCTAAAATTATGAACCTCAAAATGTCTACTCTTTTAAGACAGACACACAGCATTGTTCTGTATGTAGTTAACACAGCATGGAGCATGTTTTGCCATCGAAATTACTATAATGCAGCATAGTACCAAGGCACCAAGCTATGCAACCCCAAGAAGTTAAAGGCTTGAGTTTACATATATTACCACATAATAGCCAACCCCAAGGGGTAAAAGACTTGAGTCGACATATATGACCACATAATATACAACCCCAAGAAGGCCAAGTGTATACTTAACTAAAAAGCTTTAGTTAAGCATACAACAATATGACCACTACAACAGCTATTGGGTGTTATTGATTAACAGATACATTGACTTGTAAACAAACATCAAACAACTTGAAATAAAGGTAATGCGGGATGTCTTATGGTCCAAGGTTTACTGTCCAAAATGACCAACAAGGCTCACTTCACAACAGGCTCTTGACAGTTTTATGGATTCTAACAGAGTATGCCATTTTCATTATAAAACTCAAATGCCACTCAAATTTGCAGAATTGGAAACTGCTCCTGTTATGTGTACATGCTAAGCTCATTTTTTCCACATTAGACAATAAAAGGGATAAATAAATTCCCACTCACCATGAGAGTGCATCTTCAAACCAACAACAATCAAATAGATTGAAAACAGCACAGCAAGCAGAAGAACCCAAAGCAACAAACTTTGTTTCGAAACCCGGCTGAGCCTTCGACTCCTACGTGAATCCAGAGATTTAGACACAACAACAGCTATGCCTCTTCTCTCTGGGAAGAGCTCGCTGCTGTGTTTATAAATACCCATCACAACATCCCTCCAAAATCACATTCAACAACCGAACCACCTCATCTGCCTAATCCAAATAAAACCAAAATAACGAAAAAAAAATGTGGGTAATCATTATCAACATTAATTTTCTCGAAATGGCAGGGAATCTGATAGAAATTACCGAGGCAGAAGCTGCGTATTATAGCATCAGATTGAAGACGGGCATCCCAGATCTACTTCTGGCCATCGTTTGAAACCTAAAAAGAATTATATTAAGACTGATCTAGAAAATAAAATGATGTCGATAAACACAAAATTTATAATATCGTTTAAATAAATATACCGTCTTATAAGATTTTTGGTTTGGAAAAATAAACTGAGGAGTAAATAAATCACACAAATTGCAAAACTTCCTTTAAAACTTCATAATGACTGAGAGATATGGAGAATAAAAAAGGGCAAAACAGAAGATCGAAAACTTGTGTTTTGTTTACAGCTAGCTGTCGGCGTAATTTTTACAGAGGAGAAAGGCAGAAGATGCGAGGTTAATTTCTTATACTTTTTTTACCCAATAAACCGAGCTCTAAAAATAAAAAAGATGGTGGTTCAATTTGGGCGGCCCATCAGGTGCTGGTGGACAAGGATTGCACCGGCCTGTTATCCTTCCACTGCAGAGAGGAGGAGGTTTTCGCTGCTCTGTGAAGCCAGCCTGACGCGGTGCCCTCCGATCTAAGGGCCGAGACGCCTCCACTTTAGCGGAGACTCCACGGCCCAACTCACCACTTGGAACGGGCAGGCCAGTAAGGAGCAACCCAAGCCCGACCCTCAGGGAAAGCCCAATTGTTCCACCATCTTACAGCTCCCACTTGGGTTACAGGCTTGCGTTACCAAACCCAGCGAACGGACGTCCCAGCTAGGAGGTTATTAAGAGATAATACTTGTGGTATGAATTCGATGTGGGAAATTGGTTCACTGCTTAGCCCCTGATGCCGGTGGTTCTCGTCTTCTCGATCGACCTTCAGCAACACCGCAGAAACTGCCTGCCAAGAACAGAATGCATGCAGCAGGAGAAACCCCATATATATATATATATATGAAACCCGCCCAGTTCTTCTTCAACCTCTTCAGACTGCAAATTAAAGCCAAGAAGCTAAACTGCTAAATTAGAGAAACAGTGGTAGTGGTGGGGAAGTAATAATTAATGCAGAGAATGAAGTGTGATTGAGGTGAGAGAGATTGGATACAGAATAAAGAAAAAGGAAGGGCAGGGTGGCGTGTGGTGAGTTTTTAGTAATTTAAGGAGGGAGGGAGGGAGGAACATAGAGAATGATGAACACTACAGTGAACAACATATATAGGGCTTGGGAGTATGTGCTTTCATGGGATAAAAGCAACTTTGTTGGGAACTGTTACAGCCCTCTTTAATACGGAGTATAAAGCAAATCTCATGGTGACCCCTGAACAATATGTTTACGAATTCAATATTTATACCCAACAAATGTCTTCTTTTTTGCATTTTTTTTTTATAGAAAACAAATCTTTCTATCCCTTCAACTTTTTTTCTAATTACGTGAAGAGAAAATTTGTATTTTTTTTTTAACAAAATTTGTATTTTTTATTTCAAACATATTCGAATTTATGTTGATGCGGGCGAGGGAGGAGATGAGGAAAGCGCGGTTGCATTATTTGGAAGTATCGATACTAAATATATAAAATTTAGCAGTTTTGATCATATATTGAGTTTGAGTGACTCTTATATGAGACCGTCTCACAAATTATTATCCGCGAGACGAGTAGGGTCAATATGAAAATGTAATACTTATAAGAACAAATTGTACTTTTGGTCCTGTGACTATTGAAGTGTTGGTAATTTGAGTAATTGACTTTCAAAACTCCCAATTTAGTTCTTTAACTATGCAATTGTTAATAGATTTGGTCATGTTGGTCAAATTACCGGAAAAAAACGTAATTGGGTTCAAATTGTTTTTTGATGAGCGTAAAACGGTCATTGCAAGGGGGGGGGGGGGGGGGGGGGGGGGAGTGCCGGACTGGTTTCTTGGGAGTTCCGTTTGATTAGGAAGAAGAGCCCGGAATTCCGAAGCCCAAAGACGATGATGATTATGACCACGATGACGAGTTCGCTTTTGATTTTAGTGGGTAGTTGGAGAAATCCTCTTTCTCTGTGGCGGATGACCTGTTCAATGGCGGCAAGATTAAGCCATTGAAGCCGTCACCGAGGTTGCAGTATGAGGGGAAACCGTCGGACTCTCCGCAATCGCTGAAGCAAAGGATTAAGGAGGCATCCTCACCGGAGGAAGGATTTTGACCCCTTCTCCGCCACACTTGAAAAAGGTTTCGATGAAAGACGTGATTCAGTGTTTCGATGAAAGAGAAAGAAACCAATCCGGCGAGGAAGAGAAAGAAACCAGTACGACGCTTTTTTCCCCTTTGCAATGACCGTTTACCCTCCTAAAAAAAAAAAAAAAAAAAAAAAAAAAAAAAAAAAAAAAAAGAACCCAATTACGTTTTTTCGGTGAAAATTGGCCGGCAGTACCAAACATGCTAACAATTGCATAGTTAAATGACTAAATTGAGAGCTTTGAAAGTCAAGTACTCAAATTACCAACACCCCAATAGTCACATGACCAAAAGTGCAATTTGTTTTACTTATAATATTAATCACGAATAAAGTGTTTATTACTTTTTTTTTTAAAGGTAAAGGGTCAAATAGGTCATTGAACTTTACTCGGAAGTGCAATTAGGCCCTTGAACTTCAAAAAAGTACAATTAAACACTAAAACTTATCATTTTAGTCCATCTAAACCCAATAACCGGTATTTTACCTAAAATAACCCATCATCAAGATTTTAAAGACAATTCCGGCGATAAAAATGTTTTTTACGATAGGACCACAAAAACTCACATCATAATACACATAAGCATATAGGACCAGGGTCTATGTATAGTACGATATAACTATTAATTTGTTGCAGGTACATAATACTCTTAAGGTACATAATTTCATAATACAATACACAAAATCTCACAACATAAGACACATATGCGTATAAGACCATGGTCCACAGTATAATATAACGATCAGAATGATAGAAAATAATGGTGGCCCAAGAAGCTGAAGTGGGGTATGAAAGGAAGCAAAATATTAACAAAGGTCAAATAATGAGGTTCAAACCTGTGACATCTAACATAACAACAGAAGCACTAACCATCCAAGACACTCAAGATATCACGTACTAGAAGTTAGGATGTTTTATTTACCGGTGTAGAGATCGTTGACATCCAGGTAGTGTGTGGCACATTTGTGGCCAATAATCACGATGCCATACATTTGTCAAGCATCCAGAAGGTCTTCAACACTATATAAGGTACCATTGACTCCCCTTAAAAGCATCCTTAGGTCCTTACAATACATCATAGCTTGGTGGTCAATGGTCTTGACTTCTAACAGGAACACTAGGATTCAACTCACACTAGCTACAATATCATTCATAATTATTCACAGTCCTCTACTTGAGTTATAATATTTATTCTTTGAACCACGATTTTGGACTAGTATCTAAAACTTTGTACATACCATTTTGGGTATAACACCCCCGGGTAATAATACTACCATTTTTCTACATTCGTTCTATACTTTCATACTCGATTTATGATGGATTCAATCCCGACGAAACCATCAACAATATATACTATTTTTACTCTTTATTTTCATTGTAATTTCGTGCAAATGAATTTTCATATTTGCTCATATATTAACATTAAATTTTAACCAATCTATGAAATGATGGGCTAAAATTGTCATTATGCAAATAATTCAAAAATTAAATGGGATTGTCCAAATAATTAAAAGACCAAATGCACAATTATGGTACAATTGAGGACTAACAAGTAACAAGATCATTTTTTCAAAGATTAAATATTTTAATAAATGACACTATAAGCATTTAAATTTATTGAGTCCTATAACATGGATTCTTAATTTTTATTCTCAGTTACGTTATCTTCATCGTGTACGTTCTAAGTAAAATGTAACCTCAAAATTTTAAATGAAGGAGTAAAAGTAAGGAGTAGTACTTAGGCTCTGTTTGGCAAACCTAGCTGAAAAGCTATAAGCTAGGAGCTGATAGCTGAAAAGGAGCTGAAAGTTGAAAAGCTATAAGCTCGGAGCTGAAAATTGAAGAGCTGTTAAGCTAGCTGTTATGATTGAAAGTGTTTGGTAAAATTAGCTTTTTGATAAGCTGATAAATGTAAAAAGACTAAAAAGGACATCTTTATAAAATTTAAATTAATTTGTTTACATATTAAAATTTAACATTTCGTCTTCCAAAAAAAGTAAACACTTTTTAAAATAAAACTATTAGCATGATCATGATCTAGCATCCCATAGTGAAGTAGCAATGTTGTTGCGAATCTCCTTCATCTCCATAGAGGTGTGACTTAAATTTTCTTTGATGGAGGTATTACTACTTTGAATTTGAGATATTAGAGGTGTGACTTAAATTTTCGTTGATGGCTCTTGTTCAATTTGAGATTGAAGCCATATTGCTAATTTTAAAATAACATTAATAATAATAATAATAATAATAATAATAATAATAATAATAATAACAACAACAACAACAACAACAACAACAACAACAACAACAACAACAACAACAACAACAACAATAGCAACAACAACAACAACAACAACAATAATAATAATAATAATAATAATAATAATAATAATAATAATAATAATAATAAGCTAAAGTTTCAACATAATTGTTTAGCAAGAAACAAGACTAAAGAAGGGATTGACGTGAAAGTTGGGATAGGGGAAGAGAAAGGGTTTTAATTCATAAGGTTAAAACATGTCATTACTTTAAAATAATAAGGGTAAAGATGGAAAAAAAGTTAGGAAGCTAGGAGCTTATTTTGAAACGCTACTTAAAGTAGCGTTCCAAAATAAGCTCTTATTTTAAGCTAGGAGCTTGTTTTGGGAACATTACCAAACAGAGCTTATAGCTTATTAGTAGCTTAAAATAAGCTATAAGCTCCTAGCTTAGCGTTGCCAAACAGAGCCTTAGAAGTTTAAATAATATTTTCAAATTTATAGGAGCAGCAAATATAAAGTGAAAAAGGAACCTCTCAAAAAATAAAGTGAAAAAAGGAAAAAAATATATTAAAATAGAAAAAATGTCGTGATTCTTGCTTGAAGTTCTCTTGCCTTGTATTTACCAATCATTAGCTTCAGGAAACAACGGTAGCAGCAGAAGTTATCTCTGACTCTGTCTCTCATCACCATTTCTCTCTAAAATTTCAGGTTCAGTTTTTTACTCTTTTTTTTTTTTTTTTTTTTTTTTTTTTAATCTTCTGGTAATAATCTCATTTAAATTGAAACACTAATCACTTGCTTTAAGAAATTCGGACTAGTCGTAATTTGTCTGTTGGATAGTCTCAGATCTGGTCTGGATAATTGCCGATTGAATCGATTATATTTGTGTAATTGTTGAATTATTGGTGTAAA